CCCTGTGACATCCCCAGGCTCTCTGTCCTTCAGGGAAAAACAGATCGCCTCCTGTGTGCTGGCTGTGGCTTGGGACATGTAGCGAAAGCAAGAAGACGAGCACAGTCTGATGGCATGGACTGGTGGTGAAGGACAGGGTTGATGCTGCATCGTGATGCTTGAGAAGGGAGTGCAGGTCTCTGTGAGATGAGTCGGCACACGATGGTTGTGGTTTGCAGATTTACTCACTCATCCCAAATGGAGCTTTTTCCATGGGCTCCATCGTCCGGACATTGCACATTTTGTTGTGTGCCCACATGGGAAGGACGTCCAACAAGTAGGCCTGCTTCATGTGAAAGCAGTTCCAGACAGCTTGCTTGTAAGGATGTTTTTCACAGTAGACATAGCCCACTGTGTTGTTTTGATCCATTCCCTATGTACATCTTTCAACATATGGAAATGTATACAGCCTGAGTGGCAAAACCAGCTCTCTTGCTGTTATGAGCCAGTTGTCCCCTATGGGGACTGGGTTGTATAGTTCTCTTAACTGATTTCCAAGATGGGTGCTGACATCTTTCAAAGCCAGATTATCATCTTGTTGCTCTCCAGCTGCACTTATCAGTGGTGGGATGAGATATGCCTGTGGTTTACATAGGAGGGCAGTTCAGACTAGCATCTTCTGGCATTTAGAGTGTATTTCAGCTTCCCCGACTTAGACATCTAAAGGTGGTAGGCTGGATTTAAACACCAGCCCCTGAATGACAGGCATCTGAGATGCCTCAGTTGAGACTTCCAAAAGTGCCATTCTTTCAGGGCCTAAAGGAGGAACAATCAGTTGACTGCTCCTGTTCCAGACACCTATGTTTTAGATGCCTAAGGGCAGATAAATTCCACTTCTGGTAGCAGGAACTGTAAATCTTTTGGTAATGTTGAAGATAATGCTAGAGCACCTCCTAAAGGCTTGTATAATGTGCAGGTTATTCTACCCACAGGCAAAGTGTGGGGAGAGATGAGTAGATGTGAGGGTGTGCATACAGGCTCAACCATATGTATGGTGCACATACAGTTGTAGAACTAGATTGTGTTATTTAACAGAGCTGACCCAAACTTTGTGAGTGTTGAGAACTCTTGAGATCAACATGGATGACCTCCATGAACACCTCAGAGAGGATGAGGCCTGAGCAGTTGGCTGTGGGAAACCAAGAGAAGAGAGTGCAGAGAGGGGCCAGATAACAATAGATAGCTAGGCCCTGTCTTCATTCATCTTGAAGTCCATTGTGCTGGGTTGGGTTAATGGCAGTGCTGTCAGGGTGCTGAAGAGAATTGTGCCATAAGGACTGGATTGGCAGAAGCTAACTCCCTGAGGAACTGACTACACAATAGTATTTAGCAAGGATGTGTTCATCCAACCCATCCATCCTGCTGCAGTTGTCTTTCTAGCTTGCAGAAGTCATCCCTACATGTCCCAGTTGCTTGTTTGCAGTATTCACAATAGATGAGGTATTTGTGATGGTGATAGGCAAGTTGTTGGGAGACTTTTCCAATTGGTTTGATCTGTGTGGTGGCCAGTTGTATATGACTACAGTGGTGAAGGATTTCCACATCTTAAACTGCCAAACAAGTGCTTCACATTGGCAGATTCATTGACATTCATTGGTCAGACTGTCCAGAGGCTGTTATTTAGAAGGCACCTCTGGTGTCTTAGACCTTCCTAGAAGGGGAAAAAAAAAAAAAAAAAAAAAAGTATGACATCTTTATTTTGTTTCTCCCTGCATTATGGGATCACCATTCTCCTTTCATACCACCGCCCCCCTACTCTCATGTGGATGGCTGTCATTACTGCATACCTCCAGAATGCAGGGAGCAGCATCCTATGAGATCTAGATTAACTGTGCTTCTCAAATTGCTTGTAGGAAGCACCCACTAAGCTCATATCCGGTTGAAGTCTTATGTGCAGTTAAATGGCTCTTTCTTCTCATTCACAGTGCGTAAGCAAGAGATCATTAAGATAACAGAACAGCTGATAGAAGCCATTAACAATGGAGACTTTGAGGCTTATACGTAAGTACAGATGTCTTCTGACAGGTTGTTCATCAGTTTGTGTGCAAGTGATGTTCTGTCTCCTGGGTATAAGCAATTGTCATGCAGTCAGGGATGGTAAAAAGTATTATGCTTTTTAGCCTCCATCAATTAGGAGTAGGGATATGATAGATCTCTCTAAATGAACATCAAGTAGAAGTCAGGTATCAAACAGCAACAGGAGCAACAAAGGAGACACATCCTTGCTTTGTGACAGAACTAGTGAGGAGGGCAGTGAGGTGGGCATAAAGAGAATAAAAGACAGAAACATAGAGGCTTATGTGAAATGCCAGCTAGCACCAACTCCATGTTTCAATAGAGCTGAATATGCCAGAAATTTACTGCTTGGAGTAGGGAAATAGGTGGGCACAGGCTGTAAGTCAAATGCCATACCAGCACTTCATTGTGTAAATGGCCCTTGGGCAAAAATGCAGACTGTAACCTGTGGTGCTCTTCTTTGCAGAAAAATCTGTGATCCTGGCTTGACCTCATTTGAACCTGAAGCACTGGGGAACCTGGTTGAAGGAATGGATTTCCATAAATTTTACTTTGAGAACTGTGAGTGGGTAGATTTGGTAACAACAACAGCTACATTCTGGGGGGAAGATTGCCCTTGTTTTTACTGGCTATCAGAACCAGCAAGAACTTTAATTCTGCATGGGTTATAGTGCATTCATAAGAACCAGCGTGCTTTCTCTCAAAAGCCTTTCTCAGCAACAATTTCAATTCTAACCCCCAGATCCCTTCACTGTAGGCATACAGTTTGCCTGGTGCAAATCTTTTGTAAGCATGGGCTGCAGGAGTTTCAAAAGTTTGAGGCACCAGATATCCTGCTGACACGGAAATGGAAATAGTGAGCATATTTTGATGGAAACAACATGTATGTTTGGGGTAGACATACTAAATGATCAGACACAAAGAGTCATGTACAAATTAGTCACACCTTTGCATTGAGTTTTCCCTGGATGGTTTAAGATATCTTACACCTAAGGGACCTGTTATGTGGATATGAGGCAAAAATGCACCTTATCAGCCTGGGGCAGGAAAAAGAGTTGGGAGAAATGCCATAATTTATACTAATGGTTTTGCCTCCCTTCCTAGGTGTCTCCACAGGATGAGAGTATTGAAATTTAAATCCTGAGCTGTTATTCATAATTTTGGGGGTTAGGACAACATCCTTAGTATAGGCAATATCTACTCCTCTAAGTATACAGAGACTTTGTCTCTCTTGACAGCCTGGAGTGATTCTTACACTTCTCTGAGGCTTGTTCATATTTAATGCAGGCCTAGCTTAAAGATCTCCTGATTATTGACTTCTTTGCAACAATATTCTCTAATATAAGATCTTTTCCTATAACTCAAGAAACAGCAGCATTAATGCTGGACAACTGATGAGTATGCTTTGCAGAAGAAGTGGGAGCAAAGGGTCCAGGGGATTCTAGGCAACAGTAAATGAGCAGTTCCTAAAGAGAACAGGTGATAGGGGAAATAACTGCTTGGATTTTGCCTGAAAAAATTGCAGGAGCAATTTGTATTGTATCCCAAAACCCAGCAGAAGGTGAGTAGAATACAGAAGAGGCTGGAGGATGCGGAGGGCTGTTTCTTCTTAGTAGTCAAACGCTGATGGTTTTGCACGTTCTGGCAGTACTGTCGAAGAACAGCAAGCCCATCCACACCACCATCCTGAACCCCCACGTCCACGTCATCGGCGAGGACGCCGCCTGCATCGCGTACATCCGCCGGCCCCAGTACATCGACGGCCAGGGCCGGCCCCGCACCACGCAGTCGGAGGAGACCCGCGTCTGGCACCGCCGAGACGGCAAGTGGCTGAACGTCCACTACCACTGCTCTGGAGCTCCTGCTGCACCTCTCCAGTGAGGATCGAAAACGGGTATGGACCTTCACAGGAGGAGAATATCCTACAGGCAGCAGAGGCTGCTGTATGGGGGAGTGCAGTATTCAAGGCTGTTTAGCTGGCTGCAGGAGAACCGTTTCTTGTTGTGGTAGGCTAAAAGCTTCCAATCGGTTGGTGTTCCTTTCTCTAAGTCCTGTCCTCTGGACTCAGTAGGATCATCAGCCACTCCTGACAAGCTGGAGTCATGTTCCACATGGTTGTTCCTGGGCATAGCTACCCTTGTAGCAGCAGTGCTTCCTCTCAGGCGCTCGGGTCTGTGCTCAGGCAGAGTGCTAATCCAGAGCAGGGGGGAAGAGTATCTCATGCTGTGCACAGGTTTGCTGTTTCCCAGTAGTCAGGGGGATCTACCTTAACATGCTGGGGGTGATTTCAGAGAACTTCCTTAATGAGAATGTCATATTCTAGAGAGCATATTTCTGTGCAGAACAATTTCTGTGCTATAAGGGTAAAGATTTACTAATATAAATTTTACCACTGATTTTCTGATTAGCGGGAGCTGTTTAGTGTACAATGTTGAGAAAACTCACAGGGAAAAAAATATAAACAACTAATAATACTATCAAAAGACATAAAATATCCCTCATCTAGCTTCCCATTCAGCACTGGAGGAAACTGATTATAAAATTTGACATGATGAAACTTCTTGCTTCCTCATGAAGGACAGCAGATCCATTTAATTCTGCAGCATTTAGGCATTCTTTTTTGTTATTGCCTCCCTGGTTTCTGCTGGTTAGATGTACAAAATCTTTCTGTCTCCTTTTGTTTTATGCTGAAGTATATACGTCACATTCATTCTCAAGATCAGAGTTTCCTAATCTTAGGACCTTTTTATTAAAATTTTTCTGTTGAAGAGCAAACACAAGAAACATCTATGCCCAGGAGACAAGCTTGTTTTTTTAATGTGGCTATTTGAGGATGAACCTCTAGTCTTTCTTGTGCCCAACTTGGGATGAAGCCAAGAGCACTTTTTATTCTTATGTGTTGTGAAGGTTTCAACCCTACTGAAAGCAATGGAAATTAATGTGAACTATCACAAGCAAATTGCAGAGGTCACAGATGGAATTTGAAAAGCAAAAGCCAGTTGGGGGCACCAGAAGCAGGGAAGCTTTCAAGAGAGCTAGATAATCAGCTGTTTTGAGGGTGTAAGGCAATGAGAAGGATAAAACCTTTGCAAGGAAACAAAAAATAACTTGCATCACTTTTTGTCACAGAAATGGGAAGGGAGATTTTTGTCCTGGATTTAGTGGAAAAAAAGATGCAGAAGAAATTAAAGACTGATACAGCTCAGTGGTTATGCTGAGTTCTGAGGAAACTTAGGAATGGAGAGTCTTAGCTGCTACAGAAGAAGGATGTTTCCTTGGCTTGGCTGCTGAAATGTTGCACCTCCTCCAAAAGTATGTGCTGGAGGGCTTCTGAAGACTGCAGAGCAGAAGCCATTTCCAAGCCACAAAATGTTGGTTAAAACAATATTTTAAAAAGTCCTATGAACTAAATTGAAGTTTAAATATTGGCATGCACTTCTGGGTTTTGAAGGAGGTGTAACCTTGTGCAGTTACGACTAGGGTCAGTGTGGGCAGCCCCAGACTGAACAACACTGAATCATTTAAGAGCAGCATTGGCCCATGTGCAGTGACGGGTAAGGATGAAGAAGGAATGAGGTGAAGAAGAGTGCTTAAATAGAAACCTAGGTCTGTTCTCACCTGGAAGACAGAGTTCAGGTTTGGGTAAGTAATCTTAAAAGGAAACTACACCTGCAAAAGAAGTTTGAGGTTAATTAGAGGACTTTAAGTCAGGAGTAGGAACCAAGAAGGGAAACAACTAGTATGAGAGTTTGCAACAAAGATTTGCAAACTAAGACATGGTAGAAAGAAGATTTGGCTATGCTTTCACGAAAGGACATTGCTAAACAAACATAAAAAAACCCAACCAAGCAAATGTAAATTACTGGATTTATTTTCATCAGTTTTGACAC